CTCTCAGCCCTTCCGGTGTCCTCCCCATAGCAGCCAGCCTGGCCCCCGTACAGTGTGAATCACATCAGGGGGTTCCCCTGCCCAAAACCTGCCCGTGGCTCAGAATGAAATCCCAGTGTCCTCCCGCCTGGCCAGGTATGCCCGTCCCCTCCCACCCCTGCTCGCCAGCGCGCCCTGGGCGCTCGGAACATCTTGCTGCCCCTTGGATGCACCGTCTCCTTCCTACCCCGGGGCCTTTGCACTCACCGTTTGTACCACTTACAGAGTTTTCCCCCAGATTGTCACAATGCTCGCTCTTACTTTAGTCAGGATTTTTTTTTTACTCTGACGTCACCAGTTAGAGACGGTCTGTGTTACCTTATCGAAAACCGTCTCCGTCCACGTCCATCCTTTTCCTTGGCTTTTTTTTTTTCTTCTTACAGCGCGTTATCCACTGACATTATATTTTGCCTTTATTTGTCTTTCCTTTGAAGCTGCTCACTAAACACAAGTCCCACCCGGACAGGGACATGGCTTATCGCCGGGTCCCCAGAGCCCAGCCGAGGGCCTGGCACACTGGATGCACTTGGCAGGTCGTGCCCGAATGACACCAGTTCCCTGGGCCTCTTCCCAGGGCAGCAGCTCTGGCCGGGACCCCTGTCCTGGGGTCACATGCAGGGGCGATGGCTCTGCCCCCTGGGGACACATTCGACCCTGAGAGTTCACAGAGAAGGAGAGTGAGAATCAGGGCACATCGAGTCCATTTAGGGGAGCCATAGGCTTGTGGCAGGGTCCCTGCCCCTGGGCCCGCGGGTTCCTGAGCGCGGGGCTGGGAGGGGGACCGGGACCCAGGATGGGGTGCAGGCCGCACAGCAGGCCGAGCTCCTCCTCCGGCCTCCCTCCGGGACAGCAGGGCTCCCAGGCGGGCCAGGTCCCCCGAGGGCGGGGCATTATCTGCAGGTGCTCGGCCTGCGGAGATGTGGAGGGAGACCAGCTGGCCCCCGTGCCCGGAATCCTTTCCCGACGCTTCCCTGGCAGGAGAGGCCTGAATGTGGCTCCCATCTGCCCCAGGCCGCACAGGCGCCCCGGGCCCCCCAACACCCCGGGCGCGCGGGGGGCAGCGTGGGGGCCTTGGAGCGGAGCCCCCGCCAGGGAGGGGCCTTAGCCAGCTCCCTTCTCTGCATCCTCCCTGCTGCCCCTGCCTCCCATTCCCGCCTGCCCCTTCCCGCCGCCTCCTCCCCCTTCCTTTCCTTCCTTCCATCACCCCCGTCCCTCCCTTGGACTCCTGGCCCCTCTCCCCCTTCCTTCCTTCCTTCCTTCCTTCCTTCCTTCCTTCCTTCCTTCCTTGTTTCCTTTCTTCCTTCCTTTCATCTTTTCTCCCTCCCTCCCTTCCATCCTTCCTTCTTCCTTCCATTTTTCCTTTCTTCCATCTTTCCTTCCTTCTTTCCATCCATCTTTCTCTTCCTTTTATCCTTCCTTCTTTCCATCTTTCCTTCCATCCTTCCATCCTCCCTTCCTTCCTTCCTTCCTTCCATCTTCCCTTCCTTCCCCCCTTCATCCATCTTCCCTCCTTCTTGTCCCCATCCTTCCACCTCTACTCCCTCCCCCTCCCTCCCCCACCCAGCAGTTCTTGATTCACCCTCCACCAGAGCTTGGGGCGGGGAGGTGAGTGGGATACGGCCGTCCAGTGATCCGGCAGGTGACACAGGGACGGCCCCCAGTGAGCGGTAGCTCGTTACTGGGACGGCCTTCCAGTCGCGTGGTGGCCAGAGGGAGACAGGCGTGCAGTGACCACGGGAGGGCAATGGGTTGGCCCTGAGGAAGGCTCTTGGCGTCTAACTCGGGGCTCCTTGCCGGGGCCCTGGAGGTGGCGGGGCCACGTCTCTGCTCCTGTCTTGACCTGCCGGGCACCATCCCCTCCAGCGCCTGTGGGCTCCCGGCTGGGCTTCTGGCCAGTGAAAGTGTCCCTGCTCAGAGTCCCCCGTCTCCCCTGGGGGAGCTCGGGAGGATAGGTGTGCCCCCCCCGCCCCCTCCCCCCAAGGGACCGGGCCTCTGGGCAGCGCTGCTTTGCCCACTGGGTTGCAGGGATGGGGCTGCCGCGAGGGCCCACTGCGCCAGGCCCCCCCACCGTCTTCCTGGCCTCCCCTCTCCTCTCTAAAGCCCTCTCCCTCGAGGAGCCCCTCCCAGCGCCCCCGCCCCCTCTGTCCTCCGTGTCCCCTCTCCTCCTGCTTGAAGCTGCGTCCCCTGTGCTTCTTCCTAGAACCTGCAGGCCTGTGTGGCAGGGCCTCGGACCTTCCCCCTCGCCTCCATCTGTCTCCTTGGAGGGCCTTGCAGCACCGTCACGCCCCCGCAGGTGCCCCGGCCTCTGACCTTCCACCCTCCCCCCAGGTGCCCCAACCTCTGACCCTCCACCCGCCCCTGCAAGTGCCCTGGCCTCTGACCCACCGTGCCCCCAGACACCCTTGCAGGTGCCTCGACCTCTGACCTCCTCGCAGGTGCCCCAACCTCTACCCCTCCACCCGCCGCCGCAGGTGCTCCGGCCTCTGAGTGCCTCTAGGCCCCCTCCCGGGCTTGCCTGCTCTTCATGCACCTGAAGTGTGTGACACGCAGCAGACCTGCCCCCGGGCTGCCGGGGCCTGGCACACAGTCCCTGTGAGTCACTGAAGGAGTGGGGCTGAGCTCACTTTCAGGTGCCGGCGGCGGAGGGTGAGGTCGTGGGGCCTCACCTGTGTTTCACGGGAGAGCAGGGCTTATCGAGTTACAGTAGGTGGCATTTCAGGCCCTGGGACTTGTCTGTGCGCTGATTTTTTGGGGGGGTCGCCGCGACCCGCCTTGCCTTTCGCTGCTTCTGTGCTTTGCCCGCCCCGCCCTTCCTCACCCACCTGGCCTTTGGGCGCTGTCTCCTGGGTGGCCCCCTCCTCCGTCCCCCCAGCACGGGATCCGTGTGGGAGGCGGGGTCGAGGGGAGGCCTCATGCCACCGGCCTGTTTCTGGTTATGTCACCCTGTTCTCGCTAATGCGAGTGCCGCTTGCCCTAGGACAGCTGTTTCTTTCACTGAGTGAGGCAGTCAGTGGGCTGGCTTTCTCCTCCCCCCACCCCAGTCGAGAGCATCTGATGTGCCCACCTGCGCCCAGCCTGCAGTGACTGTGAGGACACCAGACAGGCGCAGCCCCTCTAGAAGGTTCAGGGGCACTAACTCGACGTCCTCTCCCGAGACCCCAGATGGCCTCTGAACACGGGCTCTGCGGCTCAGCAGCAGGAAGCTTGTAGGGCCAACCGTGCCCCGGCAGGCCAGCCACCTGTGCATGAACCCCCTCACTGCTCGGGAGCCCGTAGGAGGGCCCAGCCCCAGGCCAGCCACGGACCTGGTGCTGGGGCCTTGGCGACTGGAAGGCCGGGGGTCCCGTCACTGCCCCAACGGCAGATTGCAAGGGCCGCTGAGGTTGGGATCGGTGGTGTCAGGCTGGCCGGCACGTGGGTGCGGGACTCCCCCCGGTGAAGTGTCCCCGTCTTCTCCCCGTGGCTGGAATCCACAGAACTTCCGCGTGACCAGCCCCTGTGGAACAGTCCCAGGATCGTGCAGGCCGTGAGGCTGCATAGAAGATCTGAGCCTGTCCCCCGTCCCCAAACGTGAAGGGTCTTGAGAGCAAAGCACGTCGGTCTTTGCAGAGCCAGCGGGGTGCTGGGGTCTGCTCTGCGCATCCCTGGGACGGACCCGAGGAAGCACAGCATCGAGCACGTGTTGTCCCCTCTCTGGGTTTTGATGTTGAATGATACGGAAATAGCAAAATGCAGCAGATCACGTGATGGGGAGAAACGGAAGCGGGGTGGAGAGAGGCCTTGCTTGTGGCGGATGCGGGAGGCCTACACCTTGGCCGTAGGTCTCGAGACAGGCAGGCAGGGGTGTTTGCACTGATCAGGGTCCCTGCACACGCCGTGCACTCAGTCAGCACACGCCCTTGGGGTGCCAGGAGTCACCCTGGAGTTGGACGGGGTGTTGCAAGCCGTTGATTCCGTGTCCAGGTTTCAAGGTCCTGGTCCGGGGCTGCCCCCACGGGCTCTCTGAGTGTACCTTCTGGTTTCCCATTCGTAGGCACACCCTTGAGCCCCCCGAATTCTGCCTCTCTTAACACCAGAAGGTACAGCTTCGGGCTCGGCGAAAGGTAGCTCAGCAAGAGGGAGCTTTTGCTTCCCTGTAAGGTCCCTCCTGTGAATGGGGTTCCCAGCTGCACTGGGCTGGCCCCGAGGGGCGGCCTGGAGATCTCGGGCAGGGGCCTTGGCTTGATGACCCCTAGGCCACAGCTCGGGAGCCCCTGTGGGCAGGCCCCCCAGCTTCCCTGCAGGCCCCCGCCTCGTGCGCTGCTGGCAGAGCTCATCTACGTGGGGCTTACTCCAGTAATGGGACTGGGGAACAGAAAACGCCTAACTGGCCCCTGCTTTCCGGGTCTTGGTTCGGGAGGGAAGACTTGAGGTCACACAACACCCCCAAGCCTGGGGCAGTTGCAGGTTCCTGGGTCGGACTCCCTGAATGTCCCCCAGCCCCCGGCCACCGGACTGCTGTGGTCCCTTGAGATTTGGGTGGAACTGTGGTCTAGTGAAGGGGGCTCCTTAAACCAGGGTGGGGGAAAGAACCCCTGAGAACTTCCTCAGTTCCTCAACCTTCAGAATTCTAGAGAGAGGGAGAGAGAGAGGGAGAGAGGGAGAGAGGGCCCCCCCGCCCGTCTATGCTTATTTCTTCTGTCCCATCCGGACAAGAAGCGGCTCGATGCCCCGCCCCCGACTCTTTTTGCAGGTGGCAATTTCCCATTAAAAGGGGCTGAGCAAATTGGGTTTATTGCAGCAAAGGTCACATAGTTCCCAGTTTTAAATTGCTCCATGGATCGAGGCAGTGGGGCTATGAAATACTGTTAAGACTCTTGACTAGCCTGGCACATTGTCACCTTGGATGCATGCTGTGTACCTGTCTTGCTGACGTCGATGTGTCCGGCATGGAGCCTTGCTAACAGGTCCTGTTTTTGCAGTTCCCGCACACCACGGCCCTCAGAATACCCTTCAGCCAGGAGGGAGCTCCGTTGCTCTAAGACTTGCCTGGTAAGGAACGTCGTCTCGTAGTTCGTGGAAGTGGTGTCTGTCTGTGAGTCTGTGGGTTCTGGAGGCTGCCCTCGTCCTGGGGCTGCAGACCCCCCCCCACCCTGGGCCGGGTAGGAGCTCGCCCAGAGGCTCCCTTCTCCTCCCTGCACCGAGTCGGGTTGTGGAGAGGCTTCTGGACTCAACGTTCTCTGGGATCGACTGTGGGTCCCGGGGCTTCCAGGTGGGATGACTGTATGATGACACGCTCCGAAAGTCTCAGAGCGGGGTCACAGCTGGGGTCGCCGCTCTGCAAGGTTGACTTCTTTCTCTCTGTGTGACATCCTTAAGGGTCGCTGTCCGCCGGTGGGGCTGCTGCCCAAAGCCAGGCGGCCCCATCCAAGCACCACCTGCGGCCCGTGTCCCCATCACCCACCGTGCGGGTCGGCGGCCCGGGCCCAGGCTCGGAGGAAACTTGTCCCAGAGCAGCTTCGCGTCTGTCATCCCAGAGTCAACATCGCAGACTCAGTCACGGAGTGCTTTCCTGGCATCGAAGCTGAGAAAAACCCGCCGCGCCAACGAAGGGGCAGGGTTTGCATTTGATGCCTGCAGCCGCCTCATCAGAGCTCCCCGAGATACCGCCGTAAACCCACCCTCAGATCTCATTAGCCGAGCCCACCTCCCTCTGACCATGGGCCTCAGAGGTCACTACACAACCGGGGAAATTGATAGCGGAATTATGCGCTCAGAAATTAATTTTACGTTGCCTTGAATATATATTTTTTTTACTGTGACTTTATCTTGTTGAAAAAAAGTGCTTACTTCTGATTTTGTGGATATTACTGACCATGGATTACTTTTATTTTGGTTTTTACACAACAGTTATATTAGAAATTTGCTGTTTTATTCTTACCTTCTTAGTAAAAATCCTTTTATCACACAATGGGTAATTTATATCCATTACCAGGCCTTTCAATCCTTTTCAGTGGGGCTGTCAGCGCCGTTGGCACAGTAATGATTAATGTGATCTAATAATAGCGTGCCATTATATTACCTTAGTAAAACATGTACCAACATCCTATTCGGATCTACCAAATTCATAGCTTCCTATAATATTTTTGTTGAAAGACAGGATTACTATTTTTCAAAGCTGATTTTTTCCCCCTTTAACATATTTAATGAAATTCACAATTCTCTGTCTTAGTAATCCGGGCATGTGATTGGGTTCGGTGGGTGAATTTGACATCTGTAGGTAGCGTTGCGATTTGTCAGGGAGAGAGGTTGGACAGCCTCAGAGACCCGCCACCAGCAGATCCTGGGTTGTTTTGCTTTGAAAGAAAAAAAAAAAAACCTGCTGGGTTTCCAGTCTCTTCTGACACGTAATAAGGAAGGTGTGTTTTAGATCAAAAGGCAAAGGAGTAAGTAATTTGGCTCCGAGAGTCCTTTCTTCCTCTCCTGTTTTATCCCCTCTTCGATCACCTGCCTCGGTCTGCAGGTGAGCCAGTGGCAGCCGCTTCACGCCCCCCTTCAGGGGGTTGCCTCTACCCTCCATCTCTGGCTCAGCCTCCCTGCATTGAGGCTGGGCGACTCTGCTGTGGGGCTGTCCTGTGCACTGTTGGGAGTTTAGCAGCATCCCTGGCCTTCCACCACCAGATGCCAGGTGTATACCCAACGCCCCCCGACTGTGACAACCAAAAATGTCTCTCAAAACTACCAGCTGTGCCCTGGGAGGGGGGGCGGGCACAACCATCCCTGCCTGAGAACCACTGGTCCCATGTGACAGCAACACAAGAAGATTGGTTTTGTGTGTGTGTTGGGGGTGGCAGTGGGGGCGGGGGGAGTCCAGTTGTCCAGTTGGAGTTGCCGAGCTTGGTGGTGCTTCTTTGGGACACATCTGGCTTTGAGAGGGAAGAGGTGGGGATGGGGGCTGCACACTGCGTCCCTTTCCTGGCTGAAACCCAAGACATCTTCCTCCTCTCTCCTCCCTCCTCCTCCTCCGTCACAGAGCCTGGCCCCAACGAGGGTCTGAATTTTAGCTTCTTCCACTTAAATCCCATTATAATCACGACTGTGATTGATAACATTCCACCTTTTCAGAGGGCTTTCAGAATCTGTGTCAACCGAGGATGACATTATCGTAGCGCAGGCGAGATGTGTTCAAACAATTACACCCTCAAATCGAAGTGGGAAGGTTTGTCCTTCTATTCTGATGCCTTCGTGACGTGGCTTTCGCCAGCGCCTCGGCCCCCTCAGCCCCCGAAACCTTCAGCAGGAAAATACATGGGAAGGAGTAGGTTTTTGCCCTTGATGCCACTCAGCTCCGAAACAGTTTGACTATTTGGGCTTCTTAGGGCTCGTGGGTAGAGGAGGAAGGAGAGGTTGTTGAGCAGAGGAGAGGGAGACAGCGAGGGAGACAGAGAGGGAGACGGAGAGAAAGATCCTTGCTTTTGATTCAGAACAAAAATTACTGCTGCAACATTGGCTCGAAATATGCAATCAACTGAAATCAGGAAAAGTATTTTGAATACAAAATTTATATTGAAATACTTGAATCTTGATACGTGTGCACCCATATACATGTATATATTTAAATCAAGGAAGAGAAGGCAAAAAATAAAGCTTTTGTCATAAAAATACTGCCTGTAGTATTTGCCCTCAAATGATTCCTGCCACATTGGAATACATCTTGGTACCGTTAGCATTTCCATAGAAGACACTCTTGTTTGTTTTTACAACTGATCCTTGATGATGGCAACAAATGAAGAAATGGCTCTAACTTACCTTTGTTTTGGGAGGATTTCAAATACATTGTGATGCTTGGTGCAGGAAGCATTTTGGGGGCCCAACTCTTCTTCACTGGTTTCTGATCTGTCTGCCCCACGGCAGCATAAACCCAGTAGAAGTAGGCCTTGTGTGTGTTCTTCAGTGTTGCTTTCCATACTCCTGAAATAGTGTCTGATGCATAGTAGGTTCTCAATGAAACTGGTGACTGGAAGGATGGATGAGTAAGTGGGTGGATGGATGGATGGGTGGGTGGGTGAGTGGATGGATGGATGGATAGATGTAAGGATGGATGGATGGGTGGATGGATGCATTGATGGATGGATGTAAGGATGGATGTAAGGATGGATGGATGGATAGATGGATAGATGGGTGGATGGATGGATGTAAGAATGGATGGATGGATGGGTGGGTGGATGTATAGATGGGTGGTTGGGTGAGTGGATGGATGGATGCATAGGTGGGTGAGTAGATGGTTGGATAGATAGATGGGTGGGTGGATGCATAGACGGGTGGGTGGATGGATGATGGATGGATGGGTGGGTGGATGTATGTATGTATGTGAGGATGATGGATGGGTGGATGGATGAATGGGTGGGTAGATGGGTGGATGGGTGGATGAGTGGATGGATGGGTGGATGGGTGGATGGATGGATGTAAGGATGGATGGATGGGTGGATGGATGGATGGATGGATGGATGGAAGGATGGATGGATGGGTGGATGGATGCATTGATGGATGGATGTAAGGAATGACGTAAGGATGGATGGATGGATAGATGGATAGATGGGTGGATGGATGCATTGATGGATGGATGTAAGGATGGACGTAAGGATGGATGGATGGATAGATGGATGTAAGGATGGATGGATGGGTAGATGGATGGATGTAAGAATGGATGGATGGGTGGATGGATGGATGTATAGATGGGTGGTTGGGTGAGTGGATGGATGGATGCATAGGTGGGTGAGTAGATGGTTGGATAGATAGATGGGTGGGTGGATGCATAGATGGGTGGGTGGATGGATGATGGATGGATGGGTGGGTAGATGTATGTATGTATGTGAGGATGATGGATGGGTGGATGGATGGATGGATGTAAGGATGGATGGGAGGATGGATGGATGGATGGATGGATGTAAGGATGGATGGATGGATGGATGGATGTAGGGATGGATGGATGGGTGGATGGATGCATTGATGGATGGATGTAAGTATGGATGTAAGGATGGATGGATGGATGGGTGGGTGGATGTATAGATGGGTGGATGGGTGAGTGGATGGATGGATGCATAGGTGGGTGAGTAGATGGTTGGATAGATAGATGGGTGGGTGGATGCATAGATGGGTGGGTGGATGGATGATGGATGGATAGATGGGTGGATGTATGTATGTATGTGAGGATGATGGATGGGTGGATGGATGGATGGATGAGTGGATGGATGGGTGGGTAGATGGGTGGATGGCTGGCTGGCTGGCTGGATGGATGCAAGGATGGATGGATGGGTGGATGGATGTAAGGATGCATAGATGGGTGGGTGGATGGGTGGATGGGTGGATGGATGGATGGATGGGTGGATGGGTGGATGGATGGATGTAAGGATGGATGGATGGGTGGGTGGATGTATGTATGTATGTGAGGATGATGGATGGGTGGATGGATGAATGGGTGGGTAGATGGGTGGATGGGTGGATGAGTGGATGGATGGATGGATGGGTGGATGGGTGGATGGATGGATGTAAGGATGGATGGATGGGTGGATGGATGCATTGATGGATGGATGTAAGGATGGACGTAAGGATGGATGGATGTAAGGATGGATGGATGGATGGGTAGATGGATGGATGTAAGAATGGATGGATGGATGGATGGATGGATAGATGGGTGGATGAATGGATGTAAGAATGGATGGATGGATGGATGGATGGGTGGATGTATAGATGGGTGGTTGGGTGAGTGGATGGATGGATGCATAGGTGGGTGAGTAGATGGTTGGATAGATAGATGGGTGGGTGGATGCATAGATGGGTGGGTGGATGGATGATGGATGGATGGGTGGGTAGATGTATGTATGTATGTGAGGATGATGGATGGGTGGATGGATGGATGGGTGGGTAGATGGGTGGATGAGTGGATGGATGGATGGATGGATGGGTGGATGGGTGGATGGATGGATGGATGGATGGGAGGATGGATGGATGGATGGATGGATGGATGTAAGGATGGATGGATGGATGGATGG